AAATTCTATGGACAAATGGAGAGTATGAAAAAATTAAGAGAAGAATTTCAAAATCAACAAAAAAAAAAATGTATTTAATCATTATTTTCTATGTGCTGTCTCTCTTTAGGGTGTTAGAGATCATGGCTCTCCACAACTTTCTGTCCTTTGTAGATTTTACCAAAGTTTGTCTTTTTGCACTTCTGCTAATTTCACTTCTATTAACCAATTACACAAGGTTGTTAAGTAAATTATTAGCTGCTTTCCACTGTTTCTCTTGACTTCAATATATCCTGTGAGTGTCACATTCTCCAAGCCTCATTATGTGCTCGAGGAATTTCAAATGTATCTTTTTCTGATTCTATGTATAAGCATCCTCTTTTGTTTTTGATGAAAGTTTCCTGTTTCTTAATAATTTCTTTGAAAGGCATCTTTAACTATTCCAGTGTGCCATATTATTATATTATATAATGTTATAATAATACAATATTATATAAGAGATTCATTGAAGTCAACAGCTAGAGGTGGCAGTAGGTTCCATGCTAAATGCAATCAACAAGCCGAATGATTGAGTTTAACATGAAACAAATTGTCACCACTGCCTTCAATGTCCACTTTTATATTTACATACACTCTATCCCTGATATTAAGCACTTTAACCCAAAAATATAGTATACCTTAAAACTATATTTTTGTCATATATATATATATATATGTGTGTGTGTGTGTGTGTGTAAAATTATATAGAAAATAGGAAAGAACTCGTTAGGTAAATAATCCAAATTTCTTTAATATTTTTGTTATTATTTTTAAAAAACAGTGCTCAATACAAAAGTAGTGCATAAACATAATTATTTATTTAAAAATATGATTCCAAAACAAGAGCCTAAAACTTCAATATAATTATTTGAATTAAAGTACCAAGCTATGTTCCATCATCAATCGAAATTTTTTTTTGAATAACTAATTCCTGAAATTTACGTGTTTTTTATATATATATATATATATATATATATATATATATATATATATATATATATATATATATATAACTAGGAAATCAGCTAATTCCACTACCTTCATTTCAACCTTTCGTGTGTGTGTGTGTGTGTATATATATATATATTGTTACACCCTGCCAATACATCATAAATAATGGACTACTCATTTTTAATTGCATGGAAATACAGAAGAGAGGTTATTAAAGATATTAGAAATGCTATTTTTTTGTTTCAGAAAGAAAGAAAGAAAGAGAAATAGAAAGAAAGAAAAGAAAGAAAGAAATAGAAAGAAAGAAATAGAAAGAAAGAAAGAAAGAAAGAGAAATAGAAAGAAAGAGAAATAGAAAGAAAGAAAGAAAAAAAGAAAGAGAAATAGAAAGAAAGAAAGAAAGAAAGAAAGAAAGAAAGAAAGAAAGAAAGAAAGAAAGAAAGAAAGAAAGGAGAGAGAGAGAGAAAAAAAGGAGAGAGAGAGAGAAAGAAAGGAGAGAGAGAGAGAGAAAGAAAGGAGAGAGAGAGAGAGAAAGAAAGGAGAGAGAGAGAGAAAGAAAGGAGAGAGAAAGAAAGATGGAGAGAGGAGAGAGAAAGAAAGATGGAGAGAGAGAGAGAGAGAAAGAAAGATGAGAGAGAGAGAGAGAGAGAAAGAAAGATGGAGAGAGAGAGAGAGAAAGAAATGGAGGAGAGAGAGAGAGAAAGAAAGATGGAGAGAGAGAGAGAGAAAGAAAGAAAGAGAGAGAGAGAGAGAAAAGAAAGATGGAGAGAGAGAGAGAGAGAAAGAAAGATGGAGAGAGAGAGAGAGAGAGAAAGAAAGATGGAGAGAGAGAGAGAGAAAGAAAGATGGAGAGAGAGAGAGAAAGAAAGAAAGAGAGAGAGAGAGAGAAAGAAAGAGTGAGAGAGAGAGAGAAAGAAAGAGTGAGAGAGAGAGAAAGAAAGAGAGAGAGAGAGAGAGAAAGAAAGAAAGAGAGAGAGAGAGAGAGAAAGAAAGAAAGATGGAGAGAGAGAGAGAGAAAGAAAGAAAGATGGAGAGAGAGAGAAGAAAAGAAAGAAAGATGGAGAGAGAGAGAGAGAGAAAGAAAGAAAGATGGAGAGAGAGAGAGAGAAGAGAAAGAAAGAAAGAGAGAGAGAGAGAGAGAGAAAGAAAGAAAGATGGAGAGAGAGAGAAAGAAAGAAAGATGGAGAGAGAGAGAGAGAGAAAGAAAGAAAGATGGAGAGAGAGAGAGAGAAAAGAAAGAAAGATGAGAGAGAGAGAGAGAAAGAAAGAAAGATGGAGAGAGAGAGAGAGAGAAAGAAAGAAAGATGGAGAGAGAGAGAGAGAGAAAGAAAGAAAGATGGAGAGAGAGAGAGAGAGAAAGAAAGAAAGATGGAGAGAGAGAGAGAAAGAAAGAAAGATGGAGAGAGAGAGAGAGAAAGAAAGAAAGATGGAGAGAGAGAGAGAGAAAGAAAGAAAAGATGGAGAGAGAGAGAGAAAGAAAGAAAGATGGAGAGAGAGAGAGAAAAGAAAGAAAGATGGAGAGAGAGAGAGAAAAGAAAGAAAGATGGAGAGAGAGAGAGAAAGAAAGAAAGATGGAGAGAGAGAGAGAGAAAGAAAGAAAGATGGAGAGAGAGAGAGAGAAAGAAAGAAAGATGGAGAGAGAGAGAGAAAGAAAGAAAGATGGAGAGAGAGAGAGAAAGAAAGAAAGATGGAGAGAGAGAGAGAAAGAAAGAAAGATGGAGAGAGAGAGAGAAAGAAAGAAAGATGGAGAGAGAGAGAGAAAGAAAGAAAGATGGAGAGAGAGAGAGAAAGAAAGAAAGATGGAGAGAGAGAGAGAAAGAAAGATGGAGAGAGAGAGAAAAGAAAGATGGAGAGAGAGAGAAAGAAAGAAAAGATGGAGAGAGAGAGAGAAAAGAAAGAAAGATGGAGAGAGAGAGAAAGAAAGAAAGATGGAGAGAGAGAGAGAAAGATGGAGAGAGAGAGAAAGAAAGATGGAGAGAGAGAGAAAGAAAGATGGAGAGAGAGAGAGAAAGATGGAGAGAGAGAGAGAAAGATGGAGAGAGAGAGAAAAGAAAGATGGAGAGAGAGAGAAAGAAAAGATGGAGAGAGAGAGAGAAAGAAAGATGGAGAGAGAGAAAGAAAGATGGAGAGAGAGAGAAAAGAAAGATGGAGAGAGAGAGAGAAAGAAAGATGGGAGAGAGAGAAAGAAAGATGGGGAGAGAGAGAGAAAGAAAGATGGGAGAGAGAGAAAGAAAGATGGAGAGAGAGAAAAGAAAGATGGGGAGAGAGAGAGAAAGATGGAGAGAGAGAAAGAAAGATGGAGAGAGAGAAAGAAAGAGGAGAGAGAGAGAAAGATGGAGAGAGAGAGAAAGATGGGAGAGAGAGAAAGAAAGGGAGAGAGAGAGAAAGATGGGAGAGAGAGAGAAAGATGGGAGAGAGAGAGAAAGATGGGAGAGAGAGAGAAAGATGGGAGAGAGAGAGAAAGATGGAGAGAGAGAAAGAAAGATGGAGAGAGAGAGAAAGAAAGATGGAGAGAGAGAGAAAGAAAGATGGAGAGAGAGGGAGAAAGAAAGATGGAGAGAGAGGGAGAAAGAAAGATGGAGAGAGAGAGAGAAAGAAAGATGGAGAGAGAGAGAGAAAGAAAGATGGAGAGAGAGAGAAAGAAAGATGGGAGAGAGAGAAAGAAAGATGGAGAGAGAAAGAAAGATGGAGAGAGAGAGAAAGATGAGAGAGAAAGATGGAGAGAGAGAGAAAGATGGAAAGAGAGAGAAAGATGGAGAGAGAGAGAAAGATGGAGAGAGAGAGAAAGATGGAGAGAGAGAGAAAGAAAGATGGAGAGAGAGAGAGAAAGAAAGATGGAGAGAGAGAGAAAGAAAGATGGAGAGAGAGAGAGAAAGAAAGATGGAGAGAGAGAGAGAAAGAAAGATGGAGAGAGAGAGAGAAAGAAAGATGGAGAGAGAGAGAAAAAAAAGATGGAGAGAGAGAGAAAAGAAAGATGGGGAGAGAGAGAAAGAAAGATATGGAGAGAGAGAAAGAAAGATGGAGAGAGAGAGAAAGAAAGATGGAGAGAGAGAGAAAGAAAGATGGAGAGAGAGAGAAAGAAAGATGGAGAGAGAGAGAGAAAGAAAGATGGAGAGAGAGAGAAAAGAAAGATGGAGAGAGAGAGAAAAGAAAGATGGAGAGAGAGAGAGAAAGAAAGATGGAGAGAGAGAGAAAAAAGATGGAGAGAGAGAGAGAAAGAAAGATGGAGAGAGAGAAAGAAAGATGGAGAGAGAGAAAAGAAAGATGGAGAGAGAGAGAAAGAAAGATGGAGAGAGAGAGAAAGAAAGATGGAGAGAGAGAGAGAGAAAGAAAGAAAGAAAGACAAATATGCTGTCAAACAGAGGAAATACAATAATAGTGCTTTTTCTAGAACATTACAAATATTGAAGAAGATTATGAAATTTTTTCTTGCCTTTAACCTTTACTTTCTTCACTCAAAGATTTTGAATGAAGAATTTTATTTTAACATCATTTAAGTGCACATAGCAGTTACTTCATTGATACAAATAAACAAATATGCCAAAATTCTCTTTTAATTCTGCTTTTGATAACTATAGATGAATACAAATTTATTAATGAATCCCTTTGTTTTTCATGACTTATCAACCCTTTGTGGGTTATTTAAAGCTAAAACATATTTTTGAATGTAAAAATAGTTCATTTTTGTGAGTGAATATTTCATTAATAATTTCTTTTGAGAATGAAAATGATTTTTCTAGGAACAAGTTCTACTATTTAACCCACATCTGGGGGTGGAAGAAATGGTTTCACACTTTTCCCAAGAGTATTTGCACCTAAATGAATCTAACAAACCCAACTGGAATTTGAACTTAGATCTCCAGCTTCTTATTTCATGCCATTATCCGTTTACACCACCTACACATCCACAAATGAATGTAAAATCTTTGGTCCAGAAAAGGGATTTTCTTTCAGTCCATTATTTTTTCTATGTCAAAATTAATAAATTTACTTTATTTCCTTAGATATCATCACCTCCACTAAGCATGGAAAACTGGAAACAATCAATTTTTGTGAAACATTGTTTTTATTATGATGGACATTTTAGAAGCTAGTGTAAACTTCAGATTTGTATTTGCAGTTTTGTAGCATATCAACACCTCAATGGGTTATTTAATGCCGACAACTTTTTAATTTTTTTCTCCCTGGTAATATTTTTGTTTTGTCAAAAATTCATTTCTGTTAATATTTTTTTTTCTCAAAAACTTATTGCTGGTAATATTATTTTTTCAAAAACATATAGCTGGTAATATTTTTTTTTTTTCCAAAAAAGTACAGTTGGCAGCATTATTTTTTCAAAAATGTATCATCAGAGGCCTTGCTGTTGGACGTAGTTTATCGTCTTACCCAGGATGCTAAAGATTAGGTAAATAATATGTGGTATTGCTGTTCATGAGAAGTAAATCCTCTGTTCCGTTCACATCAGAGACAACTATGTTAGCCATTTATAAGAGAAGACATTTTAGGGTGGGATCACTGTATATAACAGTGCATTCCCCGATAAAAGTAAAAAAAATGTTATTAATTTTAAAAAGATGTAGTTCTTTTACATTCAGTTTGTTTACGACATATCAACTCGTTATGGGTCATTTAATGCAAAATTTAATTTGGGTATTTTTTTTAATGTTAAAATCTATAGCAGGAACTTTTACTATTTTTAAACTTTCACAGGTGACATGGCACAGTGGATAAAATCATTGGTTAGATCCAGTGACAGGACCCAAAGAGTGTAAGTTCAATACCTGGTTAAGGTGGCGGAGAACTTGGAGAGGGGAATTAACAGGAGATAACTGATAACTGACATCCATTAGACATGGCATGGGGGAACTAGAACAATTACCTGAAGAAGGCCGGAGAATAAAATGGCTGAAACGTAATAAGCATGGTGACAAAGATGAGGACAATACTACGAATAATGTAATTAGTCTACATAATACCTCATCTCAGAAATATAGACAGATACTCACAATGTTTTGTTTGGGGGTTCACTATTTGCCCATAGCTGGGACCCTAACAGGTGCTACCACCCCGGGTTAGGGTGGACCTGGGAACAACAGCAATGAAGAGGTGGTTCTATGCTCTTCAAACCCTGCAAACTGAGGCCTTGCTGCTAGGTGTAGTTTATTGTCATACCTTAGATGTTTACATTTAGTGATTAATAAAAAAAAAAAAACTGAGCTCTATGTAGAAAGGATGTTTCCAGAAATAGTACTGCCGGGAAACACATCATTTGAGGACTTTCAACAGAAGTAACAACTAAAATGGATAGCACATGCAACACAAAGAGAAAATAATTCCCTAATGAAGACATGTTGACATTCCACATCATAGAATGATCCTATAAGATGTTGATCTTCCACACAGCTTCAAACAAAAGGTTAGGAAGGAAACCCCTATCAATATTAGAAAGAGCAATAACAGTTACTGGATTTCAAAAAAACTATTTTCATCAAAAATTGTTTTAAGAAAATGATCCTATAAGATTCAATCAACAATGACAAGGGTTGCTTGGTCAATGAATGCCAAATATTTCCATATACAGGAACAGCTAATATTATCATCACCAACAAGAGAAAGTAAAAAGTGCAGATCATGAGAATATGTAGGATAGACAACAGCTGATACTTGACTTGAAGAGGTTAAAATTATAGTGATTGGGGAAAGAATTCTCTTGGGTGCCTGTTCCATAAATATAGCATTGGGAGGCCCTTCCAGAAACTATTGCAGGATCCAAATCCCATTCACAAAATGACAATACAGCAGCCCTGATATTATATAACAGCTGGCAAGATAGCTTCCTTAGGGGTTACTTTAAGGTTTGGATCCCTGACTACCAGGGACATTCATACAAATCTTGCTGCTCTAAGTAATGGAAAAATAATAGAAAAAAGGAAATTTCCTTTATCCAGAAAATAGATTGCAAACAAAAGAAACAGCAGTTAATGTATGGATCAATTGGATAATTTAATGAATGTTCTTGTAGGCTTGGAAATATCATTTCAAGAGTTATTCCGACTATACAATTTTTTTTTTGTTTAATCCTGCTTTAGTCATTTTGGATTACTGAATATAGATAATCTCTTGCCATCTGCCTCCCAAAACAACTGAGCTACAACTGTGCCACAAAGCATGCTACACACCCACACCAAATCAGGAGAGTAGTGGGAGGGAGCAAAAAAAAAAAAAAAAAAGAAAACAGATTACCAACTCAAAATTATGAGTAATTTTAAAATTTGGGGTAACAAAATGTCCTCTGTGACTAATACAGGATTAAGAATTAAAATGAAAATTAAGTACTAATTGCCTTAAGAATTTATTTATTTTTTAAATTTGAAGGTACTAGTTTTTTCATTCTAATTTGTTAATTGAAGAGCTGAGATCCAATTCCAGTTGGGTTCATTATATTCACTTATGCACAAATACCCTTGGAAAAGGTATGAAACCATCGCTTCTCACCCCAGCTATGAGTTAATAACACTTGTATGATTAAATCATTATTATCTCCAAATAAAAAAAAAAATTTTAGAATATAAAAATATTTTCTGGTTTTAGATTGGCTTCCTTTTTTTTTTTATGGCATATCAATCTCACTGGGTTATTTAATGTCGACTAAATTTTTAGGATAGTTTTCAATGAATAGAATATGTATTCTTTGTAAGAAATCAGTTTGTCGGTCAGGTTTCATTGACACATTTTTGTAAAGAGGGTTTTTATCGAGAGTCAAATGTATTGCTGGTAATTTTTTTTCCAGTAATGTATTGCTGGTAATATAATTGTTTTTTGCAAAGACATATTTCTGGCAATATTTTTTTTATAAAATGTATTCGTGTTATTATTACTATAAAAACCTATTTTTATACTTTCATTTTATTTTCACCCTAGTTTGGCTGTTAACTATTTTCCCATATCTGAGACCCTAACTGGTACAACCACCTCGGGTTAGTGTGGTCCTGGAAACAACAGCAATTAAGAGGTGGTTCTATGCTCCTCAAAACCTTATGACCAATCAGAGACTTTGCTGCCGGATGTAGTTTGTCATCATACTCAAAACGTTTCTGGCTTTAAATAACCTGAAAAGGCTGTTGAAAAGGAATCAATCAAAACAACTGTCTCAAAATAACTCCACTTATCTTCTTTAAGTACTTTTTTTAAGTTTTCTCTGCTTTTAAATAGTCTTTCATTTCTCCAGAAGAAAAAGGGAATGATAAGAGTAGTAATCATACAGGGTGTGGCAGAAATACCTCCCACATAATGGTAAAACATTAGTGGCAATGGCATCTTCATCTAGCTAATGTTCTACCATTATGTGGGAGGTATTTCTGCCACACCCTGTATAAGCATTAATATTGTTGTTATTTGAATACAAAATGAGAACTTAAAAAAGTGAGGATAAGATAAGTGGGGAAATGTCCGTGATGGAGAAAAGAGGAAATAAACTACTTGGTGGTGCTGAAAAGTTTTCAGTCTGTTACACTTCTCAAAATCTGACCAAATGACATTTTTTTTTAAAACCTTCTTGGCTGGGCTTTTCAATAGTTTCCTGTATAAAAGGAAAGGAATCACAAGAAAGGACCTTAAGAAAGGAAATGCTTCTTTTTTAATCAATTTATCCCAAGCAAGGCAATAAAGCCACTAAGACACAAGAGGTTACTGGGAGAATATGAGAAAAATCAATATTAAGGAGAGAGGACAATAAAAGAACAAGAATTAAGAAGACAGAAGGAACTGGAAACCCAACCCTTTTTTTAATCATTCCACCCCCAAGTAAGGCAATAAAACCACTAAGACACAAGGTGTTAGAAAATATAAGAATAATATACTATTAAGGATAGAAGACAATAAAGAAACAATTAAGAAGACAGAAGATAACGATTGACATTGCATTTAAATTTTTGAAGATCAAAGTTGACTGGGAAGCAAGAAGCCAGAAAAGAGTTCCACAAGCGAGAAGTGTGATACAAGAAACTCTTAGCAAAGAACTGATGGTTACATCTAGCGGCCATTTCAACTGTAAATTGTCAAGACTTCACTGCCAATGTAGTACTGTGTTTAAATTTATAAAGTCTAGGTACCATAGAGAGAAGTTCATCAGAACAATTACCATCAAAGTATTTATAGAAAAGGCACAGGGAAGCTATGCTATGATGGTAGGAAAGGGACCGAAGTTGAGATGCCAGGTCAGGACCAGTAACATTGCAGAGTCTCTAAATATATAGTAGGAGCACTAGACCAAGTTATTTAAAGCCATATTATCATATGAATATGTCTTTAAATAACCTGCAAAGTGTTGATAATCCATAAAAAATGTATCAATCAAGAGTTAGTCAAAATCTTTTCACATCAAAATCTGTGGAATTTTACTCAAAAGATATTGAAGAGGTGCCTGAGAAGTGGCAACAAGTCATTGCAAAAAATGGTGAACATATAATTTGATAAAATATAATTTGACTTTATTTTTTAAAGAATAAATTTATGAAGAGTGGAAATTCTTTATGACTCAATAGATTCTCTAAGATTATCTTATGAAAGAATAATAGATTATCTGAGAGTCACATTTCTGAGTGGATTAAAACATCGATTAAAGTGTATTTGATTTCCGAGAGCTCAATCTATGGGTTGGGTCATGCAGAAAAGTCATATATTCTGGTTCAGTGAAAGAAACAAATAAGTAAATAGACAAGAGAGACTTATCCAATAGAAGATATCCCCTAAGCATGGCGAACAGAACAAGAAACAATCTATGCATGTGGATTGAATAAAGGAATCGGTTCAAAATTCTGAAAAGGTTACAAAGTATGACAAACAACCAGTAGGACTATGGAGTACGACACAGAAAACATTGGGCGTTTAACAATGGAGATCAACATTCTGGTCTGAATGTACACATAGAAAATAAATCTTTGTTTGCTGAGTAACAGAAAAAAAAAAAAATGAGTCAAGGAAAACAGATATTGTGAATGCCGTGAAAGAACATGGTACATTGAAGAAACATCTTGTAGATATGGCAAAAGGTATCTAAAAAATTTATGTTCTTCTTCTTGTACACGGCTCTCCCCAACATTTTGTCTCTTGTAGCTTTCAGTAACATACATTCTTTTACCATACCTCCAACTTTGCCATCTAATATAAGCTCATCAGACAGATGTCCCACTGTCTTCTTGTGCATTTTGAAATGTCCTGTGATTGTCAAATTCTCCAAAATCACTTTCTTCATTATATCTCCCAGAAATTTAACCTCTTTCTAAGTTATGTTAAGTTTTGAGATAAAGGGGAAGAAAAAAGTCTCTTATTTTTCTTCCCCTTTATCGCAAAATTTCCTTGTTTCTATGTTCAGCCCATAGTATTCTCAGTATTCTTCTGTAGAACCACATTTCTGTTGCATGAAGTCTCTTCTTCAGCTGTGAGGAAATTGTCACACATAAATTGCCATATAGGAGGATTGATATTAAGCAATTTATGAAGAGTGGAAATTCTTTATGACTCAACTTAATAGATTCTCTAAGATTATCTTATGTAAGAATAATAGATTATCTGAAAGTCACATTTCCGAGTGGATTAAAACATCAATTAAAGTGTATTTGATTTCCGAGAGCTCAATCTATGGGTTGGGTCATGCAGAAAAGTCATATATTCTAGTTCATTGAAAGAAACAAATAAGTAAATAGACAATACAAGATATCCCCATAGTATTCTCAGTATCCTTCTGTAGAGCCACTTTTCTGTTGCATCAAATCTCTTCTTCAGCTGTGAGGAAATTGTCAAGCATAAATTGCCATATAGGAGGATTGATATTACATAGCAGTTCAGCACTCTTCTGTTTCTAAGGAATATTTCCTGTTACTTAATACTTTGCTAAGCTTTTGGAAGGCACCTTTTGCTATCCTGGGGTGCATTTAGATTTTGGTGTTGCATTTTCAATCCTCTGCTAAAAGACTTGCCAGATATTTAAACTTTTGTACATGTTTGATGTCTAACGTTCATAGTTCTCATCTGAAGCTATTTTCTATCGTTAGCAACCATGTTTATTAATTTAATGATATATCAATACTTGTTGGATTACTTAATGTAAAATATGATTTTTACAGGATGAAGAATTAATAGATAGCTAGACATTAGTCTACTGAGTCTGCAAGAATCCACCCAGAAAGTGTTCCCTTGGGTATGAACATATCTCTTTTTCCAAGGGTGCAGTTGCCATATTCTAAGCTCCACTTACAAAGCAACCAAAAAATTTATTGATGTTACAGCAGAATGTTATCAAAAAGCAACCTTTGTAATCTTACAAGAGATGTTGGCTGGTCATTTTGTTTTGTGGCATATCAACACATTTATGGGTTATTTAATGCCAAAATCTAATCATGAAAAATCAAATTTTATAATTAATTCAAGAGAATGACATTAAGTGAAAACTTGTTTCTTCTTATAAGAAAACTTAGAAAAAAAATTTTTTTTGACAATGTAAGCCATGTTTTTAATTTTACTATAAAATGTTTTTTAATTTTACTATAAAATGTTTTTTAATTTTACTATAAAATGTTTTTTAATTTTACTATAAAATGTTTTTTAATTTCACTATGAAAATGTATTGGTGGGCAATTTCACTATGAAAATGTATTGGTGGGCAATTTCACTATGAAAATGTATTGGTGGGCAATTTCACTATGAAAATGTATTGGTGGGCAATTTCACTATGAAAAAATGTATTGGTGGGCAATTTCACTATGAAAATGTATTGGTGGGCAATTTCACTATGAAAATGTATTGGTGGGCAATTTCACTATGAAAATGTATTGGTGGGCAATTTCACTATGAAAATGTATTGGTGGGCAATTTCACTATGAAAATGTATTGTTAATACTTTTATAAAAATCCATTGCTATTAATTTTAATATAAAAATCTATTTTTATACTTTTTTAGTGTTTTAAGTTTTGTTTTCATCCCTTCTTTCTAAGAACTCAGATTTGTTTTTTGTGGGTAACATAAGTGGCTTGTTTGTTGTTTGTTCATGTATTTTTTTTGTGGTGGTGGTAGTGGGGGGGGATCTTCCAGAGATATTTATTTTAAGAATTAGTGACCAGAATGGTGATCATTGAGATATTAGTTTAATTGGGTTTGCTTCAGGTGAAGATTTTGATTTTTTTTTTTAGGTGGTATTATAAGAAATGGTCCCTTATCAAAGTATGATTTCATGAAAGGCGGCATATGACTTCAGAGATGCAGTTGGTATAATGGTTATCACCATAGAAAATGGAATTGCCTAGAAAAGTTCAAATCCCAACCAAGTCTCTTTGTATTCTTCATCTTGAGAAACATCCATTGTTATTATTGTTGTAATACATATGATACCACAATGACTCCACAGGATAAAATATAAGATTTACGGTCATACCATATTGAAACACTGGTTCTCATAGGATCAACCTAAGTTAAGCAACGCCTAGACTGGTCAGTACCTAGATAGGTGACTGCTTGGGAAGACCACGTGCTGTAAGTTTGGCTGTGCAGAAGGTGGGGGGATAGCTAAGAGTTTGGAATTGTTAGTCAGAAATCAGAATCATTTCTGGGCTTGAGTGATGTCACTCCACAACTTACTGCCTTTCATTTCTCTTTACCAACCAGTGAAATTATCAAAACCTGGTTTTAAATCTAATACTGTGCTTAAACTTTATTACACTGTATGTGACTTCATTTGCTGTACAAAATGTTTATCATGCCACTGAAGATGACACTGATTCCTGAACAATAGTGTGTTTGAATTTCATAGTTGTGTTGTCATATCCTGCTATGGCAACAGAAAACAACTTTCAGTGAAATTAACAGTAAGGATACTGCAATAGAGAGACATTGAAAAAGAATGCAGTCAAAAGGGAAGTAATATTAATAATGCAGCCTACTAAAGGGTTAATTTTTTATGGTTTGTCTGTATATGACTTTACAAAACTCTCTTCTTCCCACAATATACTAAATTATTAAAAGAAATTATCAGATTGCTTAAAAGATAATAAACTCTAAATTTTGAAATGGTAAGGTTTTATTCGCCAAATATATCTTAACCTTTACCACTCTCTATGTGACTTCATTCGCATTACAAATAGTTTATCCTCCCAATGAAGGTGACTCTGATCCCTGAACAATAGTGTGTTTGAATTTCATAGCTGTATTGTCATATCCTGCTATGGCAACAGAAAACAACTTTGAATGAAATTAACAGTAAGGATACTGCAATAGAGAGCCCTTAAAAAAGAAATGCAAGGGTAAAGGGCAATTAATATTAATAATGCAGTGTGCTAAAGGTTAACAAGGCCAAGAGTAACAATTTAAATTTAATGCAGCATGCTAAAGGTAAAATTTATGATGTCAAGGTACTAACAAGAAAAGCTTATTAGAACAATTACCATGAAAATATTTATAGAAGAGGCAGTAATAGTAGTAGGAAAATGACTGATGCTGAGATGCCAGGTCAGGACCAATAACATTGCCTATTCTTCTTTGAATTTTGTCAAGTATCTCAAGATATATAACAGGAGCACCAGACCAGATATGGCAGCAATATTCAATGCACGGACGAATGGTAGATTTATAAATGTGCAAGATTGATTCTGATGAGAAAAACTTTGGCGGTGGGAAAGTAAAGTCGTTGGATTTTGTTGAGAATCTCAAGATATATAACAGGAGCACCAGACCAGATATGGCAGCAATATTCAATGCATGGATGAATGGTAGATTTATAAATGTGCAAGATGGATTCTGATGAGAAAAACTTTGGCAGTGGGAAAGTAAAGTCTTGATTCTAGGTGAGGAGCAATAACATTACATTCTTTGGATTTTGTTGAGAATCTCAAGATATATAACAGGAGCACCAGACCAGATATGGCAGCAATATTCAATGCATGGATGAATGGTAGATTTATAAATGTGCAAGATGGATTCTGATGAGAAAAACACTTTGGCAGTGGGAAAGTAAAGTCATGATTCTAGGTGAGGACCAATAACATTACATTCTTTGGATTTTGTTGAGAATCTCAAGATATATAACAGGAGCACCAGACCAGATATGGCAGCAATATTCAATGCATGGATGAATGGTAGATTTATAAATGTGCAAGATGGATTCTGATGAGAAAAACTTTGGCAGTGGGAAAGTAAAGTCTTGATTCTAGGTGAGGAGCAATAACATTACATTCTTTGGATTTTGTTGAGAATCTCAAGATATATAACAGGAGCACCAGACCAGATATGGCAGCAATATTCAATGCATGGATGAATGGTAGATTTATAAATGTGCAAGATGGATTCTAGTGAAAAAAGTTAGTTCATTATGTCTAGCAAGACATAATGAACTAACTTTCCTAGCAGCAGACTCTTAGCAATGAATAGTGACTTACCTTCACGTCAGTGGAAATGGTGAGACCAAGAAGGTACAATAAGTCACTCTCTAGAAGGTTAGCATCAGCATCGCTGACGGAAAGCAAAAAATGCTTCTCTAAGATAACTAAAGAAGATCAGTTTAATTTTGGAGGTGTTAAAATTAACAAGCCATTCCTTGCCCCTCTTAACAACAGACTGTAGGCCATTTTTGAGATCAGTTGCCAATTTGATCTTATGAATATGATTAGACTTAGCATTAAGACAAGTGTAAGTAATTGAGCCATTAGTATAGATACTGAATCAGGAATGGATAACATCTGGAAGGTCATTGATGAAAATAGGGAACAGAGTGGGTCAAAGAATAGCCATTCAAGATAACTTTCATTATATGCTTTGATAAGAAAGATTGATTCAAAAGAAATAGCCATAAACAATTTCAAAGTGTGAAGAAGACCAGCATCACAAACCCTGTCAACCACCTTTGTGATATCTAAGGCAACAGCTTGAGATTTGTCATTCGTTAAAGTTTGGAAGACTCTTTTAGTGTTAAACACACTAGCAGTTAACCTAGACAAGCAAAAGTCATATGGTATTTTGGAAAGAATATCCTGCAAGGTGAGATGCTCAACCAATCTCGAGTTGATTAGAGCCTATAGCACTTTGCCAAAAAGAGGTAGGAGACTAATAGGGCTATAGTTTGATGAATCAGATGCTTCATCAGACTTAAAAACAGGTACTACAGAAGAAGATTTCCAAGAATCTGGAAAAGAGCAAATTATATAATGTAGAGATTGGAGAGAACAGGAGCCAGTTCAAGGGCACATTTCTTAAGGTCAATTACTGGGGCAACATTAGGTTCACATTCTTTGTGGGGGTCAAGTTTGGAGATTATAAGAGGAAACCAACTTTAATTAGGAACAGAAACATTAATAATGAGAAGGAAGACAAAAGAGTAATCAGGAAGACAGTAGATAGCAACTGACATTGCATTTAAATTTTTGTACATTAAAGTTGGCTCGAAAGCATAGACCAGCCAGAAGGGAGTTTCACAGGTGAGAAAAGAAACTGTTTGCATAGAACTCTTGGCTCCATCTTGCCAGCTTAACTGTAAATTGATGAGATCTCAACATCAGTCTAGTACCACACTTAAATTCAAAAAGTCTAGGTACAATAGTGAAGAACTCATTCGAACAATTACCAGGAAAATATTTATAGAAAAGGCAAAGAGAGGCAACCTTACAGTGGTGAGAAAGTAAGTGAAACTGAGCTACAAAGAAAAAGAAGTTGTGGAGAGCCATGATCACACAAGAAGTAACTATGAATTCTCCTGTGTCTCAATTAGTACTACCTCGCTCCATGGCTGGTAGTATAGGTTTACATACACATCTACTATTGTGGAAATGGATTGAAGTTGTTTTATTATATACTATTTTATACTTTTCTAATTTACCACGTATCCTGATTTTACTTGGTACCAGACAAGTAGCCTACTTCTCTGATGATTATTGAATATACTTTTCCTCTTGTATTGATTTCAGAAGATCTGAAGAAGTTGGTGAACAGGTTCTGAGACTGGCTCTTGAAACCTAAGCACTCAATATGCTGGATATGCACAGTGAATTCATGGCTGGTTCAAAGTGATTTATTGATCTTCCAAGGTTGTAAAAAATAGCAACTATGATTTAATTCTTGAAGGTCTTTGCTTACAGTAGACAATAAAAGGAGGACATGTCAATTGTTACGCAAGAACCATAATGTGTGAAACTAGATTCTAAATTTATTTTTCCAGAAAAAAACCCAAAAAAGTCACAAAAAATAAGTGCGAACAACTTTGAAATAAAACACCTGCCAAACAATAACAGATAATCTTATTCTTCTTCTATATGCCATACCATTTCAGGATGTAGGCGATCATAGCTCTCCACAATTTCCTGTCCTTTGGAGATCTTCATAAATTTTGCCCTTTTCTTACTTCTCCTAAACTTTCTTTGGATATCCGTTTAGCCAAGCTCGTTCTTCTTCTTCTGTGTGTCAAGTTTTTTCAGGACATACGCAATCATAGCTCTCCACAACTTTCCGTCCTTTGTAGACAAAATTTATTAATTTTTTTTTTATCTCTACTAAACATTGTTCCGCTATTCATTTACCCAAACTCATTCTTCTTCTATGTGCCCTGACTCTTCAGGACGTTAGTGATCATGGCTCTCCACAATATCCTGTCCTTTGTAGCTCTTTATAAATTTTGTCTCCTTGTTATCTCTTCTAAACCTTGTTCTAACATCCATTTACTCAAGTTCACTAGATAGGTTATACACTGTTTTACACTGTTCCTCTTGCCTTTTAATCAGTCCTGTGAGTATCAAATTTTCCAAGTCCTCTTTCCCCATGATGTGTCCAAGAAATTTCAACTGCCTCTTTCTGATGTTAAGTTTCATTTTCTACCATGTTTTAAATTATTGTATGACTGATTTGTTTTTTATGTTTTATCAACCCTTTGCAGGCTATTCAAAACCAGAAAATATTTTTAGATTGCAAGAATAATGGTTTAATGCTACAAGTCTTACTAATTAATCCATAGCTAGGGGATAACATTTGAACTTAAAAATTAATCTGTGTAAATCTTTACCTGATGAAAGGAATATATATATGTATGTGCTTTGAGGATGCAACATACAACTGGCTATTCATAAATATTTCTTTCTGGAGTCAAATTCAAACTTTTTGAAGCATATGGAATTTTGATTTGTTTATAGTTCTTGCAAACACAGGGTAAACTGGAAACTGGATTTTTGTATATAGAAAAACTTAAAGAAAAGATATGCAAATAACAATATTGCATTTTTATTAAAGAAGTATTTTTTTTTTATTTTAATCGTTAAATTGTTTTTAAAATAGTGGGTGTATTTTTTGTGTTAATGAAAATTTACTAAGCTACACACCCTAGTAAAACCAACTGTACTTTCTACCCCCTTACTTGTTTGAAATTCTCCCCAAAAGTTTTGATCGGTCAATGTATGGCGATGTTAGAGAGAAGGAACAATGGAATTCAGAGAATTTTGTATATAGATAGAAGCAAAAAATTAGACATTTTTTAGTTTACTTATTCACAACCTTTTGTGTCTG